TCTGGTGGAAAATACATTCTAAAACATTCTAGGACAATACTTGAAAATTATAAGGCTTAGTATCACTATGTCATATGACATCGAATGTTATTAGTTTTGAAGCAGACACAATAACTGAGTGACCAATATGTCTGGTATTGAAAAGAGAACTGATTATGGCCACTGTGTATTTTTGTTCCGAAAATGATTCCAAACAGTAGATGTTGTATTTTTATTTATTAATATAATATAAATAATGGTGACAAGTTAATTCGTGTTTCCCTTATTAGCTTTTATTTTTTCTCATATTTTTATTGCAGTGACAATTTTTTGTTGTTGTTGTTAAAGAATCTTGTTGCTTCTGCGTGGACTTAATCCAACGAGGTCCAGTGCTCGGAGCAACTATTCGCTTTTGTGCAGAGCGGATTGCTGCCATGGAGGCTGATTCTAGTTGTAGATTCCATCCTGCATTATTGGTTTTTACCTATGCCAGGTGACCCGGCATGGCCAAGTGGGTAGGGCGCTGGACTCGCAATCTGAGGGTCGCGGGTTCGAATCCCCATTACACCAAACATGCTCGCCCTTTCAGCCGTGGGGGCGTTATAATGTGACGGTCAATCCCACTATTCGTTGGTAAAAGAGTAGCCCAAGAGTTGGCGGTGCGTGGTGATGACTAGCTGCCTTCCCTCTAGTCTTACACTGCTAAATTAGGGACGGCAAGCGCAGAAAGCGCTCGTGTAGCTTTGCGCGAAATTCAAAAACAAAACAAACAAACCTACGCCAGCTTATGGAGGAAGAGGTCTACCTGAACCTGACCCTTCCAGGTCGTAAAAACGACCTAAATCCCGATTCAGAGAAAAGAGAGCCAGCTTATAACCAAGAAATGTTAGCCACCGCGTGTTTAATTCTACACTTGAGCTTAGAGGTAAACTCGGGTCCTTACGCACGGCCCTCATACGGAATTTCTCCATTCCTTACCTCTGTTTCAGTACATATGTTAGTGCATTTTTACCACTCTTGAACAAATAATCCGAAGCCTGTAAAATTGCAGAAGTAGCTATTAAAACACCTACGTATCCTACATAAAACAGTAGGTTACTAATTATAACGTAAGTCATAACAATGCAGTATTTATTATGCGCACTAATCTCGCGAGACCTCCAGCAAGAAAACAGTGGCCTATTTTACGATATCTCTTTTGGGTTTAAAACTGGGAAACAACAGGGCCTGATTTCCACAATATAAAGATGACAAGCATTAACTTGAGCGAATAAACTATACAACTTACGTGCACTTGATAACGAGGAACCCACTTTCTTCGAAAATAAAAGTTTTGAGACGGCTTGACTGGGTAATGAAAAAACTTTATTATAAATGTACAACATTTCGACAAGATTTTATCATCCTCAGATACCTGTCGAAATGTCGTACATTTATAATAAAAAGTTTTTTCATTACCCAATTAAGCCGTCTCAAAACTTTTACGTCAACTGTTTTGCCGATATTTGATTTCACTGGTAAATATTTAACATGAATGGCAAAACTTAAGCTATAACTTGCTAATCATTTTCAAGGGTAGAAATTCAGACCTGTCGAATTATATTATAGAATATCACGACCGTTATGAAACTCTTAAGTATACACCTTAAGGCTTAAGTCTTCTTAACTAATTTTTAAGGTAATAATGAGCATCTTTAGTAAGGTGACTATTGGTTAATTTTATCTTTTACTGGATATTGCAAAATACGTAACAGTTCCTTGTCATGTGATATTTGCCATTGTTGTCACCTTATTGTTTAAGGTTACTGTGATATTTTTCGTATTGTTACGCCTCCAGTCGTTAATTGATTTTCCGTAACTTCGTTCCGACGAA